GTCCTTAGGTTGATCTCTTATCTTCCCCAGATCTCCCTCCCCTCCTCGCAGTACACACTCATTCTTTAGGGCCAGATCCTCCCCTGCTCTGTGATGGGTATCTTAAGACAGATCCCATGACTTTTCTTCTCACTCTTAGGAGATAAAAATCCCCTGTAGTATCCCCAAACAGCCCCAGTTCAGCAATTAAAGTGTCCATTCCAACGTGATAGTCAAAGCTGCTCAAGTTCATTTAGAGTCGAAGCTGTTTCTGCCAATCCTTCTTCCTCCTTCGTTTGCCCCCACCTCCCTTGGACCTTGGGTAGACTGGAAGACTGGTGGGCAGGGCAATGATTTCTTTGGATGTGGGAAAAGCACTCCTCCCTCAGCCCTAGATGCCATCCTGGGAGAGAACTAGCCTGTGTCCCGGGGCTGTGTGCCCCTCCCCTCCTGTGTGGCCTACTTCTGGCCTATTGGAAACAAACACTTCAATGTCAAGAGTAGGGTAATAGCTACTAAATTTGCTTCTGACAAACTCTGGGAGCATGGGATTCCCTAACTCTCGAGAGCAGGGTCTGGACCCAGTCCTTCAGCCTTCAGATTTTTCCAGGTGTGGGTATGACCTCAGTCCTCTGTGTCCAGCTCAGTCTTAGTCTCTAGAAGCATTCCATACTTAGAAGAGACCACAAGGTGTAGCACTCAGATACAAACCCTCTGGAATTAAAATCCCAGATAATGCCAGCTCAGCCATGACCTAGCCAGGTGATCTAGGGCAGGGTACTCCAAGCATTCTTTACCTCAGTTTCCTTATTTGTATAATAGGGATGATAATAGTGGCTGCCTCATAGGATTTTTAGATACATTAAATAAGATATAATGTATAAAGAGCTTGGAACAGTTCCCGAGACACTTTAGGCATCATGGAAGTATTTGTTAAATAAATATATCAGGTGAAAAAAATGTTTGAATAGTAAATAACAAAGATCAGTTCACGGCAACTTTACCAGGCACTTTAAATTTCAGGAGTTCTGGGTCCTTCCAGTCCAGTCAATTTTGGATGATGTCCGGGCAGAACCTGCCTAGAGCCACATGGCCGGTGTCATAGGAGGCTCTGCGGGTCTTGCTACACAGTATAAAACACCTAGTCCTGTTTTATTCCATGTGCTAGGAATGCTAGCAAGCATGAGTTGAGGAAGGGTGACAGGGTTTTAGAAGGAATGAGCACAGAAAGAGTTCCCAGACACAACTTTTCAGAAAGGGTATCTGGGAAAAACAAAGCCATGGGTGGGCATTGAGGGCACATTTCACACCCTCTGCCAGCCCTGCAGCCTGGCTCTCCCACGTCTTGTTTTGCTCTGTTCCTTGCTATCTCTGGAGGGAAGGCATAACCTCGTGGATTATGGGACTTTCTGAGTATCTTGAGACAATTAATTATCTTACTCTTGACATGCCTGAAACATAGAGAGATTATGCAACTCAGCCAGTCACGTAGCACGGGTGAGGCTGAGCTGGGTCAGGTCTGCGGATCCAGATTTATGTTTAATCTGATGAGATTCGCCAGTGTGCTGTTATCCCAGCATGGACTTTGTTTAGTCACAGAAGCTGCTAACATAATTTCAGAAATGTGTGGCCAGGGAATCCAGGTCATCTGTTGAAAATGACATTACCAGGAAACTAAAACACTCAAAGTTTGGAGAAAGTTGTGCATCAGGATTAAGTAGGGGGGAAAAATAAAATCAAAACAGGACCAGAAATCAGCTGTGTATGTAAACAAAAGGGAATTGATTTACTATGAAAAATATGAATATAGGACAAAAGCATTACCACTTCACTGATACCTTCTAGGACATACTAAGCTTGGTGCAGCCTCCAATATTTAGGATAGCATGAATTCAGAAGAAACAATTTGTAATTGCATGTTTGCACTTGTACATTCATGAATAACTGGCTATTCATGAATGTACTTAAAAATAGTTTTGTGAAGACTCAAAGGAAGTTGGAAAAATGCTCATCTTTTATTTCCTATTCCTCCCCAGTTCACTGGTTCCTACTGAGTGGGATACACAGTGGTGGGATGAGAATGAGGCCTAGATTTGTACAGACCTGAGGTCAAATCCTTACTCTACTACAAATGGCATGGCTTTGAGCCATTTGCTTAGCCTCTTTGGCCTTCAGTTTCTTTATCTATAGAATGGTTATAAAACTGACCTCGCAATACTGAACTAAGCAAAGTCTCTTGCTACAAAATAGGCACCCAGTTAGGTCTGGACTGCAGCATATCTTAGACTTCCTTAAAATGCCAATTCAAAATGGATTTTTCAAAAGCCTGACCCTGATGCAAAGATAGTCAGATATATCCACAGAACAGAATAAAAAATCTCACAAATAGAACTGCACATGTGGTTAATTGATTTTGTAAATATTTCAAGATTATTCAATGGGACAAGGACAGTCTTTTCAACAAAAGGTGCTGGAACAATTGGGTGTCCTCATGCAACAAATAAATGAACCTTGACCCCATGCCTTGTGTCAATATACAAAAATAACTTAAGATGAATTAAAAACCTAATTGTATGAGCTGAAGCTATACAATTTTTAAGAGAGTAATAGGACAAAATCTTTGTGACCGTGGGTTAGACAAAAATTTCTTAGGATACCAAAAGCACAAACCATAACAATATTTGATAAATTGGACTTCAACAGCATAAAGAAACATTTGCTCTCCAAAGAAAATGAAAATGCAAGCCACAGACTAGGAGGAAGTATTTGTAAAATGCATCTATTTCTTTAACATTGCTGTGTCCTGAAACTGTGGCACAGAAATGTAATGAATAATTCTTGTGTGCACTCATCCTCCTCCCTCACTATTTAGGCCACTGTTCCCTACCATTCTTCTCATCATACTGTTATGATTGAGGCCTGGAGGGAAGATTGGTGTGTGCATTATAACATTTTAAGCCTCCCATCTTCAATTCCATTCTTGGCAAAAGAAAAAAGAACAATGAAAAATCTGGAGACAGGCACATATCCAACAGGAAGCAACTTGAAGTCCTTGGTAGCAATAGAATACTTTCAACAGTGACAACAAGAAGCACAGATGGCTGAAACCGGTTTGCCTCAGTGGATAGAGCATCAGTCTGCGGACTGAAGGGTCCCAGGTTTGATTCCAGTCTAAGGCATGTACCTTGGTTGTGGGCACATCTCCAATAGGGGATATGCAAGAGGCAGCTGGTCGATGTTTCTCTCTCATTGATGTTTCTAACTCTCTATCCCTCTCCCTTCCTCTCTGTAAAAAATCAATAATACATATATTTTTTTAAAAAGAAGCACAGATGAACATACACATACTGCAAGATGTGGCCCTCAGTGCTGTGCTTGCATCATTGCATTTAACTGTTGGTGAGTCAGCACAGAGTCTGGGAGGAAGCAGGGTCACCATCCAGGTGGCCAGCAGAGCTTCTTTTGGGCCATTCCTTCCCTGATACCTGCAATGGATTTTGTTCTTCCCATGTCTCTGAAGTGCTTTGTCTTTTGGAATTCACTCTGGATTCATCCATGTCTTGTCTTGGTTTTACTGTCTTGGGACTGTTGGCTCAGTTTAGGAGATTTATCTTTGAAAATTCAGCCTCTGTTTGGCTTCCTGGCATCAAGCTTTGTACTTCCTTGCTCCTTAATTCTGGTAAACCCTTCCCCCACCTCCCCCCTCTGCTTCCCTTGGCCTTCCATTCGCAGTGCTTGATATCCCTGGGTCATTATGAATCTCATATGTCCCCAGGTACATAATCGACAATATTGGCATCAACGGGCATCCTGCTCACAGGTCTCTCTTTTCTGCTGTCCTTCATAAACCACTGTATGCATAGCTGAAGCTGGAGGTCCTCAGACACGTAAGATGAATACAGATTGGAAAGGTCATGCCTACTTTTGCCAGGGTAGCTGTGACATTTTAAAAATATTACTATAACTGCGAGGATGTCTTTATTGGTGAGCAACGTTGCAGGGTGTGGATGTTCTCAGTGTTGGGTTGTCAGTTGATACCTCAGAGTCAGCTGGGGTTTTGAGGGTGAGCATAGCCTGAACCATAGGTGAGTGGATCAGCATGTGCTCATCATTCCGCTCTCTGCACAGATGCTGTAAAAAAAAATCGGGCCAAGTGCTGACCCAGGTGGGTCCAGATAGCAGCACTGGAAGTCCCAGGGCTGCATGTGTTCCAGCTGGGGCAGAGGGATGCCGCCAGGCTTCCACTCAGTTTCATGTAACAGCAGCCGAACCATGAGAGATGCTTTTTTCTAGAATTGATTCCCCAAGACCATCTGACTGACTGCAGCTTATGGGCCACAGGCAGCTGGGGCAGAGCCATCCTCCCAGTTTACTTCCACTTGCATGAGAGACTCTCAGAATAAACATCCCGGGAAGCGGATGGACTGACATCAAAGTCTTCAATTCCTTTTCCATTTTCGATCTCAGCAGTCCTTCCCACACAGGTCTACATAGGTTTTTAAAGCTTGAACTGTGCTCAGTTCCTCCCCAGAAGGATGCCCGCTCCTCCTGTGACCTGTGGGAGAGAAAGAGAGATGCATGGATGGTCTCAGTGTGAGGCAGCCAAGAGCAGCTGTGCCCGCAGAGCTGGAGTGAATCCTACCACAGTCTCTTCACAGTAACCCGCTTGCACTTCATGCAGACTACTGAAAAGAATCTCATCATATTAGGTTCACGAGCTTGCTGCGGAAGACTGGCAGAAGCTCTCTGTGTTTTTAAAGGGCTAGCCTGCACCGGCCAGCCTTAAACCTCAGCACCGGAAAGCTGACAGGTCACATCATTCTAGGTGCTGAAGCCTCCCAGGTCCAACCATTGCACACACCAGGAATGGGAGGCGTGGGAAGGTTCAGTGAAGATTTAAAAAATTTGCATAGTTACTGGAAGAACAGAGACTTAAGCCCTAGTTTCCTGACAGGAAATCCCGCACTTGCTTCCAACTGCCTTTTATCCAGATGATGGTCTTTGTGTCTGAAAGCCTGCAGATGGCAACGGGGCTCTTCCCCAAGAGGGAAACGAGACTCGAGGTAATTGTCGGTGAGAGTGGACTTTGGGGGACACTCCTTTCTCCTCTTCGGATTCCTTTTCGTGGCCATCTGAGCACGCCGGCTCCAGGGCTGGGAGCAAGGAGCCATCCGCTGGCTCCAAGCTCTCCTCACACACAGCTGCTCAGACAGTGAGCTGAGCGGCAGGGCTTGGAGTTCACTGTTCTCCCTGCCAGACCGACCTCTGTTGTAAATTTCCCTCCCGGAACACGTGACGATGCATTTCTTGACTATATATCCCCAGGGCAGCCGCGGAGCCGAGCTGTCAGAGGCTCAGCCCGCTGCGAGGAGGACGCTCTTGGACTTGGCCACTTAGCAAACTCAGGACTTGGGACGAATTTGCCAGCGTTTGGTAAGTCAGCGATGCTCCTGGGCTTCAGACACCTTTTGAAGGGCCATTTCTACCAGCTAGCAGGCGAAGTTTTCCTTGCCTTTTGTTTTTGTTTTGTTCCCAAGGAAACTGTTTTGAATTAAAAAAAAAAAGTTTTAAGCAGGAGAAGCAAAATGTAAACGTTCCCTTTCCTGCTCAGTCAGTTAAAAAAAAAAAAAAAAAAAAAAAAAAAAAAAAAAGACGTTCCCAGTGGTTACAATGTCAGTTATGTTGTCTGTGCTTCCTTGTCTTCCACTGATCTCCCCCCACCCACCTTGGGTTTTTAAAATGGTCAAAGTGATGCTTTTTTAGAGTGACGCTCTCTCTACAAATTACAAATATGATGGACACGTAGAGACTAAGTCATGGAAGTCCTTCTTACGCACCTCCCTGCCTTCTCCCCCAGGCACTCCAGCCTCTGCCACCGCTTCCTTTCCTCTGCGCCTTCATGCATGTAGAAGCTGTTTCGCTATTGCAATCCCACACACCTCTGCTGCCCTCCTCTCTGCCCCGTGGGCCGTGGGAGAGTGCTAACCTGCAGCTTTCTCCCCAGATCCTGGCCGAGCGAGCAGCGCTTCCATGCTGAGGATGGAGCCCCTGAACAGCACGCACCCCAGCACGGCGCTCCCTGGCACCCCCCTCGAGTCCCACGACCCCAGCGGAAGGGGCAGCGGCAAGGGGAACGAATACGTCTACATCCTGGTGGTCATGTCCTTCTACGGCATTTTCTTGATCGGGATCATGCTGGGCTACATGAAATCCAAGCGGCGGGAGAAGAAGGCCAGCCTGCTGCTGCTGTACAAGGACGAGGAGCGGCTGTGGGGCGAGGCCATGAAGCCCCTGCCCATGATGGCGGGGCTGCGGTCGGTGCAGGTGCCCGCCGTGATGCTGAACATGCTGCAGGAGAGCGTGGCGCCCGCGCTGTCCTGCACGCTCTGCTCCATGGAGGGGGACAGCGTGAGCTCCGAGTCCTCCTCGCCCGACGTGCACCTCACCATCCAGGAGGAGGGGGCCGACGACGAGCTGGGGGAGGAGAACTCGGAGACGCCCCTGAATGAGAGCAGCGAGGGCTCCTCGGAGAACATCCACCAGAATTCCTAGCACCCCCAGGGCTTCCGGAGGTGGCCCCTTCAGCAGAGAGGAAGGGCGCTTTTCACGTCTGGTTTCACTTTTGCAGTGAGGCTGCCTCTTTGAAGAGACCCCTCGGCAGGCCCCTGCGTGGGGATGGTGGGGGCACAGGAGTCCGTGCGTGCCGTGCCTGTGGTGCGAACCGCCACAGCCAAAGCCCTGAAGACGTGCCGGGGGCACATTTACTTGGGGCCTGGGGCTCGGGTGCCGGGTCAGAATCTGGCTCAGTTTTCTCACTGGATGCCCTGGCTAACTCCGGCAGCTTCTGCCCACTCCCAGGGACATGCTGGGACACTACTTTTGATTGATTGATTTGCCCAGAGCTTTGTCGTTCTCGATCTGATTGGCTGTAAGTACCTCTGTGGTGTGCCTGGGGCATTCATTCACCAGTGACAGTGCTTCTGGCCTCTTGGGTTGGGAGGGTGACGTTGAAAGGAGGACTTTCCATGGGAGAAAGCTGGAGATCTGAACTCGGCCCGTTTGCATATCATAAGGGTAACAGAGGGCAACCTTTAAAAGTGTTAACATTGGCTGGAATTATAAGGCTTGACCCTTTCTGTAACCCACAACCTTGAACTCTGACCTTCATTCCGCTGGCATGAAGTTTTTTTTCGGTTGGAAGAGCTCTCCAGAATCTAACCTGCACTCCTAATGGACGTGCAAGGGACTCCTCCTGATCTTCCCAGAAAGGGTACTGATGGGGTTGAATGAAGCCAACCCTTAGCTCTACTGCTGCTCAACTCTCAGCCTGATTTTTTGAGCTGGGAGAGGACATACGGCGGGCCTCAGTGATACAGCCTGTCGTCATGTAGCCGAGACCAAGAAAGGCATACTCAGGCAGAAGTCACACAAAGCGGGGGTCCATGTTCTGTCCCCTGACCCCCGAGCCCTGACACTGGTTTGCTGTGTGGTCCCGGGAATGTCATCAAGAGGCTTACCGCCTGCCTGAGACTCCTGACGGTCTGCGTCCCCAGGGGGCTGGGAGGATGTCTTTAGATTTTAAGCCTCTGTGATAAATCCTGCATGGCCTGGTGTGAGGAAGCTTGGACCAGATATTTCCCCCTTGGCCAGTTAGTCTGCAAAAGGATTTGCTTATTTAAAGGAGCATTTGGAGACTAGGAAGGCAAGGCACTGGGAAGTTGAGGGAGAATCACCCACTCATCCAGGCTGTCGTTTTTCCCAGCAGTGAACCAAAAAGGCGGAGGCCACATTTTACGCTGTCTGCAAAGTTCTCTCTGGGTGCTGGAATGTTAACCCTCCAGTGGAGGGAACGAGAGACCCAAAAGGAAACACTCAGGAATGCTTGCCGACATCTCCGGGTATTCCTGTGGTTGGAATTCCTTTGCAGCAGACCCTATGGGCTCTTGAATATGAGAAGGAAGAGAAACACACCAAAAGTCAAATTTAATTATAGTAAAAACAAAATTTTTTTTTTTTTTAAATTAAAAGAAATATTCTCCCTGGGTTGGAGACAGCAATAACTACTGTTCCCATGGAAGGGTTAACAGTGGAGGAGCTGGTTTACCAGCTCGCCTTAACACAGTGCTAGAGGAAATTTATGTTTGGGGTGGGGAAGGGGCCTCTGTTCACTTTAAAATCCAGAATGTGGATTTACTCCAAAGGGGGCTGTTTAAGGTGAAAGAAGCCAAGTTCAGTTGGCCCCTTGCCTGGAATCACTTGAATTCTGAAACTTTACTGCGACGGACATGTGCGTGGTCACATTTTCCATTGCTTCATCCCGAAGTTCGGTGCACATCTAGCTGCGCCTATTAAAATAGTGATGTAAATACTCCCTTCTTATTCTATTAAGTTGTATAAAATGGTCTTCTGTATTTAACAATTTGTCATTTTCACTATATTTTTTAATTTAAATAAACAAACACATTTCCCTGAGGAACTTCTAAGTTCTTTCTTTGATTCTGCAACATAATTCCTAGTTTCCAAGACATCCCAGGCACATTCTCCCAGCTGTCTCTGGATCCGGGTCATTTTCCAAGTTAGACTCCCATGAAGACATATTTTATTTCTGTCTGAATCACGGGCTGAACAAGGGCTAGGCATTTCCATCTTGTGACATGCTTTGCAATGAATGAAAAACAAGTTGCAGATAGTTTTGCATCAATTTCTCTTTAAATTTGATGGCCATGGGGGCCTTTGAACTTGAACGTGCAACTGCTACAAAGATGTTGCTCCAAATTTGGTCGCAAGAACCCGTTTGTTTTGGCTGTTGGCTCAGAAGATATTATCCATGTAGGACTGCAGCAGCAACTTCTGATGGGCAGGAAGTTCCTGTATGTACAGCCACATACACTTAGGAAAATACTGGAGCACAAAATCTCTGGTATTTAGATGGCACCTCCTTTTATTCCCAGTCACCTCTGCACGAAGACTGATGTTCGAAGCTCTTCTCACCTGGTCCAGCTGTAGCTCTGGCCCTCAGATTTTATTACTTTATTTACACAGCCAGAGGTGCTAAAGAAAAATGACCCAAGCCAGGGACCCATTTTTGAATCAAGCAGAGGATACAGAACATCCTTACTTTTATGTTTCTCTGTGTCCCGTGAGTTTGGCTTTTCTGTTTCAAGTAAATGTTTCCATTAGGCGCACAAATAAGTGTCTCCCTAAGGGATTTATTGGGTGAAGATTACAGGGAAGCCCAGGATCCTTCCCAAAACACTTAAACGATCTCCATCCATCAGTTGGTACTTTGACAATGTAAGATGAGAAGATCAATTTAAAAGACAAGAAAGCCCTTCTGTTTATCCCAGCTTAATGCCATTCTTGGTAAGGAAATAGTTAAGGAAAGCATTATTACCACAGGCGGAAGAAGAGGGAATTCTAAACTCTAATTGTCCTAAAAATATGCAGAGTACACTATGTCGTTTTAATGGCATATTTGTTTTCTTTAAACACACACACACACACACACACACACACACACACACACACACACACACACAACTTCTAAGCAGAACCTAAGCCTAAGGGGTTTAATCTGTGCAGATTTACTCCTGCATGTGAAAAAACAGAAAAGAGAATTTGGCTCCATGTACCTAGGATATTAGAAACATATTTTAAAGCACTTAAATGTTAGGCATGAGGTAAATGGATCATCCATGCTGTTCCAATTACACCTTTGTACGTCAAAGTCAGACAGGGATGCTGTTGAGAAAACTTTCAGGGACAGAATCTGGGATCAAAATTACCGGGAAAGGCTGAAGTTGGGCCAAGGAATGAGTGCTCTTGGCTCATGACTCTGGTTGGAAAGTAGATTCTGTGGTACATTTGAGAGCTGCAATTGGAGGGTTTCGCGGTCAGGCATGTACTTCCAGGGCTCAGCTGAAGAAGGGTCATTTATCTTCCTATAAAATGCTGCTCTGATCCTAGACGTTGTGGAACAGACAGAACATTGAGCTTGCGACGCAACTGATACTCCAGGTTTAGACGGAGCAAAATGTGCTCAACTGCCTTACCCCAAATCTGGGTGCCCTGCTGGAGAAAATCACATGGAATATCATGGGTCAAGGTCAGGGGTGGCCAATAGGGCTGGAGGGAGACGTATCAGCCCACTGACTGGGAGAGTGGATCAGCAAGCACTGGACCTGGGGAAGGGTGTAAAGGGGGTTTAGGGAAGGCCCAGCCCTGCTCTTCTAGCGTTCTCGGCTAACCCTGCTGTTGTGTTGCTCTGTGGCTCACAATGAGAGGACATGCTGGGCTTCCTCTCCTGGGACCTGTTAATTTGAAGAACGGTGAAACACTGAGAGATATTGAGCTCTGCTTGAACCTAAAAGAAAAGCAGTTTCATGCTTCTACTTTGTAAAACGTGTCCTGGCACCTGTCTGCAAATAAAGCCACTGAAACCTCTTTTTCTGTGAACAGTTTCCTCAGGAAACTGTGATGTTTAGGGAAAGCGTACAATTTTCCAAAGGAGTAGGGTCATAAGAGAGAGAAACCACTGTTTACTTCTGCTTTTCGCTGTTTCTGAAGTGTTTCCTTCCACACAGGAAGGAACAGTTTGGGATGTGAGCTGTTACCATGGAGATAACCAGCCAAGGTCACTTGTTTGAAGGAGCCCAGGGCCTCACAACATTGGATTAGAGACTTGATGAAGTTTCTTGACACAGGCAAGGAGCTTTGAGCCCATGGCCACCTCCACCCACGACATAGAGGAGGTACCCAGGGAGTACCCTGCTCTCCTTTTGTCATGGACAACCCCTTCTTTCTTCTCCTTGTATTTTCCTGGCCCATGCAATTTAGGGCTAAGCTTTGGTTCTCTCTGCTCTAGGGATTTATTTTCTTATCTTTCATTTGTTGCTAAGAAAACTATAAAAGGCCTTAGCTGATTTGGCTTAGTGGATAGGTAAGCCTGTGGACTGAAGTGGATAGGTAAGCCTGGACTGGTCCCAGGTTCGATTCCTGGTCAAGGGCATGTATCTGGGTTGCAGGTCCATGGCCATGGTCAGGCACCTGCAGGAGGCAACCAATGGATGTGTCTCTCTCACATTGATGTTTCTCTCTTTGTCTTTATCCCTCCAGTCCACTCTCTCTAAAAATCAGTGGAAAAATATCACTGGGTAAGGATTAACAACAACAAGAAGAAACACTGTAAAAGAATTCTTCACATCAGCAACTATACTATTTCCTGTCCTGAATGATTTTTCCACCCCAGTTCAAAGATGATGCATCGCATATTCTCTCTTGTCTTAATTCTGGCTGCTATAGCAAAGTACTGTATACTGCATGGCTTATAAACATAAATTTATTTCTCACAGTTCTAGAAGCTGTAAGTCCAAGGTCAGGGTTCCTACATGGCTGGTTCTGGTGAGGACCCACTTCCAGTTTGTAGACATCTGTCTTCTCATTGTATTCTTACCTGGCAGAAAGAGCAAACTAGCTCTGTGGTTTCTTTTTACAAAGGCACTCATCCTACTCATGAGGGCTTCACCTTCATGACCTAATTATCTTCCACAGGT